ATTCCAACATGAACGTGACAGGACGGCCCCCTGTAAAATTCCCACAGGCGTACCGCGCCAGGGTTCAAGAAGCTCGCTGCGTGGACTTATACTTTCAGACTCTACAGCTTGGGACTAATGATATCATCTCTACGCCCTCTATTATGTCTCTAGTGAACTCTACACAATAAAGGCGAGGCTTGTGTACTGGCAAAGAAAGCAGTGATATTGATTGCTTTGGTACAAACATGTAAATGACGATGGTAAATTATGGATTAACTCATGACGACTTTCGTGAAGTACGGCGCAACCACAATTGAGTTGGCATGGTGCAATTTACTTGTATGTCTTCAAATACACAAACCTAGGCCAAGTAATGCGTACGTGTCATGAAATCGACTGTTATCGAGATCGGAATTTTATCTTTTGTGCCTGTGTGCCCAATATTTATACCTTTTAGTGAAATAAAGTCATTATGTACGACACGAAGTTGTGTCCTGCCACGTTTTGTCGTGAACCGTGAACCTCGAGTTGGAATGTCTTCTCGAAAGAAACATATTTTATCAAAATAAACCCAAGGTGCGAACTCCTTTCCTGCAAACAAGTTATTGATGTGTGTGCTCGCTCTTCTCTGCTTGCAGTAGAGTAGACAAAAGGAATATTAGGCACTCGCGCGTAACTTGACTTTCCGTAAAGATAGGTTTACACTATGTGTTCCGGCAGCCACGGCAATCACGTTTGCCGGAAACGTAGGGCACCGTGGGATTTTGGCATTTTTTTTCTCTGTATCAAGTTTTGTTACGTCCTACTATTACTGTTTTCTCGCGGTCTATTGTACTGCCCATACAAATCATATTCAGATTACGTATACGTCATTGTAAAGTCCGCACATTTCTAAAGGTGACAGACAGGGCTTTCAGTTGATTTTTCGAAAGTAGCTTTTGATCATGTTGTATGAGGTTTCTCTGCCTAGCCCGGCTTTCATGCTCCCTCCCAGACGGCGCCCGCCGATCAAACCGCAGTAGAACGCCACACACTGCATCTCACCGGGCCTGTAAACTGTCGTACATCTGGAAGCGCCGTAATTGAACGCGACGAAACGGCTACCGTACACCCTAGCCTGCCGTGAGAACCGTGACAAAACGGGACAAACTTGAAAGGACAGTGAGATGCCGGGGAATGCACATGCTTCCCGTCCCACTACGGACCGTCTCCAAGTTTTGTTACGGCCTATCACGTGCAGTCACTTTTTGTTGCGTTCAGCCCCTACTACGGCCTACTAGGTTTCTCATCCGTACCATGACTGCCTTGACAAAATTTTTGATAGTTTAAAAATCTGGCCCGGCATCAACGGCCATCACGGACTGTCACGTTTGTCCATCCTGTCCGCCCGCGCTGTCTCACGTCCATACCGTTTTGTCCACGGTGGCCAGAAACATGATTGCCGTGGCCGCCGGGAACATAGTGTAAACCTTTCTTTACTCATGCATTTATGAGCGATAAAATCCTCGTATACGTCAAAACTCGCGCAGTCGCTCACTTACATACGCCCACAATGAATGATGATAACAGTATTTGGACAGGGTGGGCCGTGTGGCATAATGGGTTCAATCTTCGTGTACACAGGAGCAGCATGACACGCAACACGAGATGCAACTCAACACGCAACACGGCATGCAATAAAACATGCAACAAAATATGCAACACAACATGCAATACACGCAACACAACATGCAACACGACATACAATACAACATGCAACATGACATGCAATACAACATGCAATACATGCAACACGACATGCAATACATGCAACACAACATGGGACACGAAATGCAACACAACATGCAATACAACATGCTTAATAAAGCTTGGATGTTGTAATGGTTGGGACCTCTCTGTCATTGTATCCCTGGAAAACAGTAAATAAATGACTAAAAAACTATTCATTTGCTTTCGACACGTTGGACGAAATGTAACTGGTTTGGAGTGCATGGTTTACATTACATTCGTTCATTTTGACTTGTAAACTAGTAAAGATTCAACAACGTAGTAGCGTAGTATTTACACTGACAAAACAGCTTTCAGCAAATTGTCAACGATCAATACATGCAACATTTCCAACCTGTTGTAGTTAAGCGACGAATGGGGGACAAACCTTGGTTAACCAACCAGATACGCAGGTTGATAATGCAGCGTGATGCCGCCTTTAAACGTGGCAGTGACAATTATCAACTCCTCCGTAACAGGGTTCAGAGGACCATCAGAGCTGCCAAGACCAACTTCTACACTCGGAAAATCGAATACCTAAAACAGTTTGAACCTGGAAAGTGGTATCAACAAATTCGTCATCTGACTGGACTAAAGAAACAATCATTATGTCTCCCAGCAAATGGTAAATCACCGTCGGAGACGGCTAATGATTTGAATCAACATTTCGCTAATATTTGTTCAAGTCTTCCACCCCTTAACATTTCAGCTCTCACGCCATATTTACCAGCATCTACACCAGTTCCTGAGATTTATCGGTACCAGGTCTATAGATCTCTCCGCCATCTTAACGTATCTAAAGCAAGCCATCCAGATGACTGCCCGACACGTCTCCTCAAGGAGTTTGCGTATGAACTGTCAGAACCCTTAACTCATATTTATAATGCTTGTCTGAAGTTGGGCTGCTTTCCAGATATTTGGAAGAATGCCTCCGTTTGCCCTGTGCCTAAAACTAATAATGTCACTACTTTTGATCAGCTCCGTCCGATATCCATTACTTCTGTTATTTCACGAGTTTTTGAGCAATTTCTAGCAGACTGGGTGATGAAAGACATTCACCATCTAATAGATCTCCAGCAATTTGGCAACATGAAGGGCTGCTCAATTGAGCATTATCTTGTAAGTTTGCTTGCCACCATCCACAGAGCTATTGATCAAGGGGGTCATTTTGTGAATCTATGCATGATTGATTTTAGTAAAGCATTTGATCATATAAATCATACCATTGCTGTTGAAAAATTAATCCAACTTGGTGTTAACCGCGCCATTCTCCCGACGATATGTAGCTTTCTCATGCATCGAACACAAACTGTCCGATACTGTGGATCCACTTCAACACCATTAAATCTCACTTGTGGCGTCCCACAAGGCACGAAATTGGGACCCATTATTTTCTTAGCAATGGTGAATGATGCAGCTCTCACGTTGGCAAATCGCTGGAAATATGTCGATGATTTGAGCCTTGTTGACATTGTCTCTAAAGGTCAACAATCTTGTTTGCAACTGCATATTGACTTACTTGTAAATTGGTGTCATAACAATGATATGAAGCCGAACCCTTCTAAATGTAAAGTCATGCAAATGTCATTTTTTCGCAACCCACCTGAACCCCCAATTTTTGCTATTAACAATGTGCAGCTAGAGGCTGTTTCATCGGTCAAACTTCTTGGAATAGTCATACAAAATGACTTAAAGTGGGACCAGCAGGTGCAGCGTGCAATAAATAACGCCTCCCGACGGCTCTACATCTTGAGTAAACTTAGGAGAAATGGGGTTAAAGCTAAAGAGCTACTCTCCATCTATAAATCATATATTCTCCCAACGCTGGAATTTGGAGTAGTTGTGTGGGCATCAGGAATTACTGTAGCCCAGGCTCAAAGTATTGAGCGAATTCAAAAACGGGCTCTTCGCATCATTACTTATCCAGATGTATTACCCTATAATAGTCTTCTAGAAAAGTTTAGTATTGATAGCCTATCAACCAGGCA